AACAGTAAATGTAACACCTAGTGTTGCCAGACGAACCAGATGTTGTTTGTCTGTGAAGTCAGGAAACACTGAATGCCCGGTCAGAGATTGTGGCAGATCCACTCGTTCCTTCAGTCTGTTGGATAGATTCAGAATCACCCGTCAAGTGTGCAATTTTCCAAACGATGACGAGTTACATAATCCGCTTATGTAAGCCTGCACAGTCGTTATTATTTATTTCATCTTGAGTTTACATTTCTGCAGGTTTTGGAAGAGAAGCTCATGTTAGTGTGTAATATTTATCGTTATGTTGACTTTTAGTGACTCAAGCCCTTTGCGTCTGTGTTTTCAACGAGTAGAGAGCGTTCGCAGCAGCAGGAAGCCACCCGGAGAAAAAGGCGCCTTTTTCCAAATGCTCTGTCCTTTATGTGCAGCTGCTCCGAGCGCTCCAGTTGAAAATCTTTTGACTTTTTCAGAAAGGCTCTGTTGACGTCACCGTCGCTCTTTCTCCAAATGTTTGATATTCCCTGTGTAATCATTATTTGTATAGCGCCGCCGCCAATTCATAACCTGTTATCTGGAGACGCTTTACAAAAAGAGCGTATGGGATAATATGCAGGAAGGATTTCTCCTTTGTGTTCCTGTTGTCCACACTTCCTTGGAGGTGGGGGGACGACACAGTCCGATGGTGGTGGCTGGGGCGTCAGGGACGTCGGCTGGTAGTAGTGCCAGTGAAGGTTGGGGGGGGGGGGGGGGGAGTTCTGTCTCCTCCAGCGTCTGGCTTCTGCTGCTGGGACAAGTAGACCTCCTGGGTTTCTAACACAGACCGGTGCTCATATCCTCTTTGCTCCTCGCCTGCTGGGGTAAAAACTCAAATAAAAAAACATGCAGTAAAAAAGCAACAGAGCAGTGTCGGTCATACAGCGGCCATCGTCATCAGATCGTTGTCATGGAGACAGGATGGACGTGCAGCGCTTTTTCTTCTCATCACACAAACGCTTCATGCAGACGCTCCAGAGCACACAGCCAACACGGGGCTTTAATCTGCAGTGTCTTCGTTTTGTTATGACGTTATGCGTCAGGATGGAAAATGCAGCGTTCCACATATTTAATGCAAAAAAATAAAATAAACAAGCCTTATTTACTGACGGTGACACAGAACAAATCTCCCTCACACAGTGACAGCTCACACAAAGCTCTAAAGTCATCTCGACAGATGAGGAGTTTAAAATGGTTTTCCTCTGCAGAATCTTTCTACTGACTCTTCTTGTTGTTTTTTAATCTCGTATTACTTTTCTTAAAAAGAAGAATAATGAGAGAATAATGAGGAAAAATGTTGCTGTGGTCTAGTCTGACTTCTGCAAATGTGCAGTGAGTACGTTCATAATGCAGATAAATGAGGGGAATAAACTGAAGGAGAAAGTGGAAGATACAGAAATCTCTTGAGTGGCTGCAGATCAGAACCAGCACACTGTTCTGTTCACCTGTGACAGGGATGTGTTCACATGGACTTGAGGAACCCGGTGATGATCCTGGTTTTGATCAGATTCAGGATATTTACATGCACACAGAGAATCCTGCTTCTTCATGATCAGTTTCTGATTTCTGCACACACACCACGGCAATTTAGAAAAAAAGGAAAAAACCGAGACCACTGTGGATTATTGCGGCTCAGCACTATTAGATGCCAACAGGCGTTGCAATATGATGCCTTTCTCCCATCTAAACTTCCAATCATATTTATATTTTTTATTAGCGAAAGACAAAACTCAGTTTCTTTGTCACTCTAGAAGAAGATGCTCCCGTTGCCGCCACCATGTCTGTTTTGCTGATGCGTCACTTGGCTGAGGTAGTAGTCGGGGAGCTGTCAGAAACTGGGGTAATGCCGCTGTATCCTGTTTTCTTTCAGAAGTTCTCCAGGTTGCAAAATCATTGGTTTCTCAAAATCAGGATAAGGGCTTTTCCCGGTTTCTGAATTTGGGGTATGATGTTTACACAACACAAAAACAGGAGATTTAAAAGAAAACATCCTGATCGAAACCGGGATTCTCAAGTCCATGCAAACGAACTCAGTGCAACGAACTCAACTGAGTGTTATCACTGATACCACTCAGGATCATTAAATGATGCTGTGAAGTCTTTGTAGCTGTGCAGCGTGTCTGCCGTCAGGTTAGCCGTGTGATTGGATAACATTTCATTAATCTCCAATTCACAACTTGATTCTCCTCGAATGATTCCAGGTGTTCAGTCGTTCATTCTGACTCTGCTTATTATCGTTTCCTCCACAGCTAGTAGAGGACGTGTGTGTGTGTGTGTGCGTCTGTGTGTGCGTGTGTGTGTGCGTGTGTGTGTGTGTGTGTGTGTGTGTGCGTCTGTGTGTGCGTCTGTGTGTGCGTCTGTGTGTGCGTCTGTGTCTGTGTGTGTGTGTGTGTGTGTGTCTGTGTGTAGTTTACGTCTCCCGTGGCGTTAAGTTTATGATGGTTCCAGTCAGTGAAGGTCGTTGGCAAGACTGCAGCAAAGGAAGAAATACGAGCACTATCCAAAATGAGCCTTCACACACACACACACACACACACACACACACACACACACACACACACACACACACACACACACACACACACACACACACACACCTTGTGTATTAATGTTTGATTGTGTTTGTGAATAATTGATGCGTCTTTATTATTTGTCCCTCTGGTGTCCTGCAGTCCTCTCTCTCTCTCTCTCTCTCTCTCAGTACAGCCCTCTCTCTCTCTCTCTCTGTCTCTCTCTCTCTCTCTCCTCTCTCTCTCTCTCAGTACACCTCTCTCTCTCTCCCTCTCTCTCTCTCTCTCAGTACAGCCCTCTCTCTCTCTCTCTCACCCTCTCTCCTCTCAGACAGCCTCTCTCTCTCTCTCTCTCTCTCTCCCTCTCTCTCTCTCTCTCTCTCAGTACAGCCCTCTCTCTCCTCTCTTTCTTCTCTCTCTCTCTCTCTCACCCTCTCTCTCCTCTCTCTCAGTACAGCTCTCTCTCTCTCTCTTCTTTCTCTCTCTCTCTCTCTCTCTCTCTCACCCTCTCTCTCTCTCTCTCTCAGTACAGCTCTCTCTCTCTCTCTCTCTCTCTCTCTCAGTACAGCCCTCTCTCTCTCTCTCTCTCTCTCCCCCTCTCTCTCCTCTCTCTCTCTCTCAGTACAGCCCTCTCTCTCTCTCTCTCTCTCTTCTTTCTCTCTCTCTCTCTCTCACCCTCTTCTCTCTCTCTCGCTCTCTCAGTACAGCTCTCTCTCTCTCTCTCACCCTCTCTCTCTCTCTCTCTCTCTCTCTCAGTACAGCTCTCTCTCTCTCTCTCACCCTCTCCTCTCTCTCTCTCTCTCTCTCTCCTCAGTACAGCTCTCTCTCTCTCTCTCTCACCCTCTCTCTCTCTCTCTCCCTCTCTCTCTCTCTCTCTCAGTACAGCTCTCTCTCTCTCTCTCACCCTCTCTCTCTCCTCTCTCTCTCTCTCCCTCTCTCTCTCTCTCTCCTCTTCTCTCTCAGTACAGCCCTCTCTCTCTCTCTCACCCTCTCTCTCTCTCTCTCTCTCTCTCTCTCTCTCTCAGTACAGCCCTCTCTCTCTCCTCTCTCTCTCTCTCACCCTCTCTCTCTCTCTCTCTCTCTCTCACTCCTCTCTTCTCTCTCTCTCTTCTCTCTCAGTACAGCTCCTCTCTCTCTCTCTCTCTCTCTCAGTACAGCCCTCTCTCTCTCTCTCTCTCTCCTCTCTCTCTCTCTCTCTCTCTCTCCCTCTCTCTCTCTCTCTCTCTCTCAGTACAGCCCTCTCTCTCTCTCTCTCTCTCTCTCTCCTCTCTCTCTCTCTCCCCTCTCTCTCTCTCTCTCTCTCTCTCTCTCTCTCTCTCAGTCAGCCCTCTCTCTCTCTCTGTCTCTCTCTCTCTCTCTCTCTCTCTCTCTCTCAGTACAGCCCTCTCTCTCTCTCTCTCTCTCTCTCTCTCACCCTCTCTCATTACTCCTGTTTTATGTTTGTCTCTCCCTCAGGACGCTGCTGTTTCTTCGGTGAAGACCTCGTGATTGGATGAAGAGAGATCCTTTGAGTACCAGTATGGACCCGCTCATCCTGGAGTTACCCACAATCCTTAGTTCTCTGTAAGTAGGAAGTGTACATTTAAGGTGGTATATAAGAATAGATTAGATAAACTTTATCACAACAGTGAATCTCCTTTGACTTAGACTTACTGCAGTGCTCATAAATGTCACTTCTCCCTCACTGCCAATTAAAATCAAGAAGGGCGGGACTTCTTGATATCAAATTAGTCAACAACAATCTGACTCGTCTTTTTCGAAGGTTAAAGTTTCCAGGTCTAGAGCTTCTGTCCATTCCAGGAAAGGATTCATTATTTTCATGTTTTCATGGTGCTGCTTCACTGAATAAAGGAAAGTATTAAAGCACAAGTAGAGGTTTCATAACCCGGCAACGATGAGGGCGACGAGAAGCGCTCTGAAACGACCAGCAAGAAAAAAAAACACCTTCAGTAAACACAAGCTCTTACTTTGAAGCAGAGGAAACAGGGATTATCTCTGAATATCTAAAACGTACTGACTGTAGACTAAATGTTTCAATGATCATAAATCTTCCTAAACACATAATGTCATATCGTCTGTTTGCCTTGTTCTCTTTTCTCTTTATTGCCGAACAGTGACGGCCAACTAATAGAAGAATTACATTTTTGTCTGCTACCCAAGCAGCCCTTCTTGCCCTCTATTTCATTTTTCATTATTTTCACAGTACTTGGTCTTTTTTGGATTCTAATCACTCATTTTAAATCCACTTTCTATTTCAATTTGAGAGAAAAAAAAAGATTTTTGTACTTTCAGTGTCTTATCAAAGATAAGTCGAGTACACACACACACACACACAGATCACCAAACAAGTCTGACTCTGACCTGTTTACGTCCCGGCCTTCATATGATTCAGATTGCCCTCTCTTGTAGTGTTGTGTTGTCACCATAGCAACCAGCTGTAGTCGGGTTCCACATGGGTGAATGTGGTCTCCGATGGCAACCCAAGAAGTGTGCAGGATTTTTTTTTAGCATTCTTCCTCTCATCAGTCTTCTCTCCCTCTCTCGCTGCTGTTCAGATCTGCAGCTGAGTCCTCTGAACCCTGAAGCGTGACCAGCGCCAGTACACCACTGACCTGCTGTCAGGTAAAACACACACACACACACACACACACACACACATGCTCATGGGCTGAAAACATTCCCACTCACACCTCTTCACGCTGAGCCGTTCCTCATCCCTGCCCCGCTCTTTTTAAAAGTCTGCAACACGATTAAATCTCATCGGAATGTGAGAGATAAGCTCGGACGTTTCATCCAATGAAAAGAACGAGCCTGGGTTCTGTCAATCCATAGCTAGCTCTCCCACCATGTGTGTGGTTTCCTGGAACAGCTGAACACTGAAGTCTTTTTATCAAACATTACTGAAACAGGAGGTGAAAGTCTTTTTCTTTGGCGACCTTATTACCAGCAGATTCTGTGTGCTAACAAGTATTTACATCAACTCAAAATCAACTCTAATTTTTTATAGTTGTGAAAAAATCAAGGTGTCAAGCAGGTGTGACCTTCTCACTGTCTCAACAGCTCTTCTGATCTCTCTGTGTTGACACTAAACACTGATGCTAACAGCTCTGGGTTGCACTAGCTGCTAACATTTAACACGTTGCACCAGCTGAGATATTCAAATGTTAGGCCTAAATTTTAACTTAAATCTGACAGTATGAGTGCAACATGAGCAATCTATTGTTCCTTTGCAGCGCCATTTATACCCTTACGCCCTGTTTCTATTCTCCTCTCTGTCGCTTGCATAGACGACGAGCGGGCTCTACACTGACACTCGATTTTTTTCTCACTCAACAGAGTTTGTTATGTGTTTGTCAAAGTGGAGATAACAGTGCATTAATAATATCCACATCCGGGATTGAGATGTTGAGCTCTGACTTGTGTTTCTCGACGATCCTCTGAGTGTTGTGATTTGAGTCGACAGCTCCTCAACACAAAGCACCACTCATCCGTATGTCCACCTTCAATACTAAAGCACTGGGTGTCAAACTGTGTTCAAGGGGAAACTGGAATTGACAGAGCGCTGACAGAAACTGATTTATTTAAAGGATGCAGTGTGGACAGCGATTCTGCGATCGTGCATGTTAAGAATGTAATATCTAACGCTCGCTCCTGATAGGTTTAAAAATCACCCCGATGGTGCAAAAACAAAAACAGAAAAACACCCCCGGCTGCATCATTGTTTATCGACTATTATAGATGTGTAATTGGGTTTAAATATTAATATCAATGTGTGTTTTTTCAGGCCTGGACATGTTTCTGTCCTCAGGCTTTTTGGGACCTTTTTAATTATTATAAACCTGAACATCTGTTCTGATATTCTCCTCATGTGGGGAGACGATGAGGAGCATTTTCTCACCCGTGTGCAGCCTTTATAAAATCTGTCTCTGGTTCTATAAAACCATGATGGATATGAATCAGCTTTAAGATGTTTTACTCGATTTATACGTTTTAAGCTGTGTGTTCACTTACTTTGTTCTCTGCTGCTGTGAGAACCTCATTCGACTAGAGGAACCTTTGGGTTCCCCCAGAACATGCAGCATTTTACTTCTGTTTAAAAGCATCCTCCTCTACAGCTCAGCCTGTTTCTTTAACATGCAAACTGTCTCCAACTAAAATAAACTCACCTGTATCACAAATATCTCTTCAGAAATCATCAACCTGCCTACACCCAAACCTCTCACACCTCAACTACAAAGCTCTGACTCACCATAAGACCTCTCTCACCCACTCTATCCACTCTGTTCTTTTCTGTCATCAGGTCGGAGATACAGAACTCTGACCTGGAAGAGCTTCAGAAAGAGCTTTGTTCCCTCCGCTGCTGAAGCTCTTGAAGGCTTTAAATGTGATTCTTCACACTTAAATATAATATAAATGAAGTATATCCTCTGAAAATAACTCTGTGAGTCATGACTGTCTACAATGGGTGTAACACCCGGGTCCCACTGTCTGTGATGTTTTCAGAGTTTTCAGAGTCCTATCTTCAGTTTGTTTACATCGCCCGGACGGCCGGCTGACTCCTCCCCTCGTGTATAAAAGTTGTTTAATTGAGGGACTAGAGAAAAGAAGAATAACATACTGTACTCACTGCTTAACTGTGTTTCTAGATCACGCTCATTTCAGGTAAATTTACATGCAGTGTGAAGATACCAGCATAATAAAGATCGCTAGCATTAGCATGCTAACACAACAATGCAGCGCGAGTTGTTTTGGTTTCATGCTGGTGCTCAAGGGCGACACCTGCTGGATCAATAAATCACATATAAAGCCTTTAATAAGCTTCCATGCTGATGTGTTTCTTCCTGTTGTATGACAAGTATTAGTATGTTATTATTGTGTTGTTGTGTTGTTATAATAAAATGTAAGATCAGCAGTTTTCATGAACCCCGTTAGGAATCAGAAATCAGAAAGTGTCTTTTCTTTATATTTCAGAACGTACATCTTAATGTATTTTTCCTCCCTTCCTCTTCCAGGCGATCTGTCTCCTGCCACGATGATGTCAGTAGACGTGACCAATCACAACGGCCCTGCCGCCACGCCCCCCACCTCCCTCAGCCTCCGCTCCTCCCACAACCAGCTGCTCAGCGGCGATGTCGTCAACAAAGAGGGCGCCGACACGCCTCCCAAGTGTCGCAAGAAGTACGCGCTCACCAGCATCCAGGCCGCCATGGGCCTCGGGGACGCGGCGCCCGCTTCCTCGTCCCCTTCCTCGTCGTCGTCCCCGTGCTCGACCCCCAACAACCCCAAACTCGCCAAGAACGGGGCCAACCAGCTTCGCAAAGCCGGTCACGACCACAACAAGAACACGACCGGCCCCGAGCCCGCCGACCCGGAGTGCAATCTAGAAACCGCGGCGGATGATCCCAACGTCAACACGGAGGAGGAGAACGACAGTCACACGCTCACCAACAACGATCGAGACGGCGAGGTCGTCAAGTTGGACGTGGTCGATCTGCGCCCGGACGCTGACAGTGACGCAGAACCCGAGCTCAGATCTGAGTCTGACATGAACACGAGCGTGGAGCTCACGCTGAATGGAAACACGACAGATTCAGGCTTAGACGCCGAGGAGAACGACGACATCAGCATCCTGTCGGAGAAGGAAATGATGTCGAGGATGAAGATAGAGGAAGACGGAGACGAGGCGGCGGTGGAGCCACACGAGGACGAGGACGAGAAGAAGCCTTTACTGATGATGATGATGAGAAGCGAGTCTCCCGTGAAGAAGCACAAAGTGTCTTCAGGTCTGGAGCTCATCTCCGACCTCCACTCCAACCTCAAGCTCCTCAAATCAGGCAAGGACTCTCCGGTGCCGCCGCCCCCCTCCCCGCCCAGGAAGACCAGCCCACCGGAGGAGGACGTGCCGCTCCTCTCTGTGGCCTCCTCCTCGTCCTCGTCCTCCTCCTCCTCCCCGGAGACCAAGAAGGACAGGAGGACCGGAGCCAAGACGGACTGCGCTCTGAACCGCATCCAGAATCTGAACCCGAGCGACGAGGAGTTGAGCTGGACCACGCTGTCGCAGGAGAGCAACTCCCCCGAGGAGACAGGTACACATTCACACAAACACACAACGTAACGCACAAACAGACCGCTGCTGTCACTCGCTTGATGAGTGACAGCAGCGAGTGACAGCAGCGAGTTTTCATCAGCGAGTGTGTGACGGCTATTCTGGTGGATTCTGTGGTTTCAGCTTTCTCTCTGCTGATGACATGTTTCCATTTAGACTGACCGAGTGTGTGCGTGCTTGTGTGTGTGTGTGTGTGTGTGTGTGTGTGTGTGTGTGTGAATACGCAGAGAGTTCAGACATTGCTGAGAACAAAATAACAAACACTCCAACCTCCCTTACAAAATCTCCCAGAATCCCTCTGGGACAGGAAGTGCCCTTATGACCTCATGGGTGGTTTCAGCGAGCCAGATCAGCTGCGTCCTGTTTCACGCTGTGTTTATGTGCGAGCGTTAACAAGACTTGAGTTGTTAACAGATTGAGACTTAACAGTTAACACAAAACCTGTAGCTGCCGTTATCTCTCGTTCTCTACGTCTTTGGTTTTCACTCCACTCCAAAGCTGAGAGATGAGCTACGTAAGCTTCGTCTAATCATCACTTCTGCACCCTTCTCCTGTTAGTTTTCATTTTGTGTTTTCTCAGAATAACAACCAGAACCAGTTTGGACACACACATATAGACACATAGAGGAGGATGGTGACCCTCTTGGTATACAGCTAAGCCTTACCATATGTGTGTGCTATGCCAGAAAAGCTCTTTATCCCACTTTGTTCCATACAGTCGGTGTATTGGTTCAAGATGACATCATCATCATGAGAGCGTTAGTTGTTCAACTTGTTTCATGTTCAGTCAAGTCAATTTGTATGATTGAGCCTGGACAAAAATCCCTCTACTTATATTTGTATAGTTGGTTCTCCTCCTTACGCCCAGGCTCCAGCCTTCAAAGGAAACATGACAGTCTTATACCTAAACAACCAAACAACCAGCTGCAGAAAAGTTGAAGAGACCACCACACATGTCCATTCAATCAGCATCTCTGTATGCACGGAAGGAAAACTTCAAGGAAATATCAGAGCTGTCTGACCCTGAAACTTTCCAAAGATGTGATTCACACATGAAGTTTCCCTGTGTGATTCTCAAGGACGAATCAAATGATGTAAAAAGACACTCTGGTCGTTATTAATAAGACATCAAATATGCTATAATGAAAACTGATTTGATATCAACGCTATGAGTTATTGTACCAAGCGAGCGTTTCAACTATGAGCGGAGAAGAAGCAGCTTCACCTTTGTGCTGGAAACTTCTGTTAACAATGTAAAAAGAAAGGATCATGAGTCAATCAGTGTCTTTGTTTAGTTTAATTCTTCTTGCAAGTAGAAGGAACAAAGTTTCAGAGTGTCAATACAGTCTGAAGGAAAGCTCCAAGTAATCACAATATGCTTGTGTTTATATACACATGCTTCACAGAAAAACCTTTCCCCTGTTAATGATTGCAGCTACAGGCTCAGTCAAATATCAAATACATTTCAACACGTCGCACAACAACAATGTCAAGGAAACTTCAAGTCTGAGTATCTATTTGTGAGAAACCTTCATCCTTGGTAAAGACAAAACAAGAATATTACGTATTAAATTATTGTTGCATTTCTCAAGCGAGCTGTGAGTAAAATGTGTCCTCGACAGTAAACAGAATTTTTCCATTACACTATGTGCATGATGACCAAACCGATCGCTCACTTGGGTGTGATTAAAAACATAATCCTCCCCTCCTGCTGGCCTGCACTGAATTACTTTTTACTAGGGTGCTGGCAGGATAAAGTTGGGGTTAAGTCTAGAGGGGGTAAATTCAGTTGTTTGCTTTTGTACATGCAGCCCACCCTGAAAATGTTTCCTTATGAAACTTATCTTAGTAAGTAAAGCTGGTAGAGTCTGTACAGTTCAGCTTGGGGGCAGAACTCAGACGATGAGTGTACAACAGTAAAGTTTCAAATTCCTCTGAGTCATTATTACCTCTGTAGCAGGGCTCTGTCTTTGTCTCCGTCCCTTGTTGCTAACCTCTGCACAAGCTTCTGCTAAAGTCATTGAATTCCTTTTGTCAGCGTTTATGTAAAAATCTGTTTTTTTACTTAGTTCAGGTCTGCTGCTGTTTGTGTGAGAACGTTGAAACCCATCCATCCCGACCTCTGACACGAGCTCAGCTGTAAACCATCCCCTCAGTCTGTGAGAGTTGCAGTATTTGTGCCTTGTTGCTGATTCCCCCTCCTCCCAGAATGCTTCTCTTCTATCTCCGTGATGACTCACCGTCCATTTTGAATGGAAGGCTCTGAGCGTCTGTGTGTTTCATCTCTCCACCAGTACGATCAGCAGCAGCTAGTCCTGCTGAATGCTGCTCTCTCTCTGATGAGCTGACACTGAGCTGTTCCAGGGGAATTTACTTTCCATATCTTCTCTTATCCTGATGTCCTGTTTATATCCTGATGTCCTGTTTATAAATTAAAAAAAATGTTTTCCTGTTTGGGAACAGTGTGCATGTTTTGTGTTGACCAATTAGCAACCAGGGGGACTAAAAGTAAACTTTCACATCAGCCATTTTCACATCTGCACTCCTGAAAATATCTAGATAATGTCAGTAGGACTGCTCCGTAGATTCTCCTGACCTGGCTGCTCCTCACAGCGGGAGACTATCCCTGTCAGACGGGGGGGGGGGGGGGGGGATCAGCGCAGAGCTCGTAGTGGTCATGGACAGTCTATGCCCTGACTTCAGTCACAGGATATAAACGTCACTCCCCCCCTCCCATTGGCTCGAGCTGAGTTCTCCTGATAATATCCTACTGCGGTCTCACATCAGCTCACTCCGACTTGCTGCGGGAAAAAAATAGTAGGAGTCTGGCGGGAGAAACGCCGGGTGAAGTCTGAGTGAAGAATTAGGCTTTTCACACATGCAGCTCCTCCTGGAAATATTCTATAGAGTTTTTCAGGAGTTTTCTGCATGTGTGAAAGCACTATATTAGGGCGAATTTTTCACTTGGATTGGACATAAAAGTGTACCCGAGCAGTTGGGAGCAAGGCACCGAACCCCCAACTGCTCGAGGGCACCAACTTCCAGACTTCATCCGCACCAGGACTTGGACCGGCAACCCTCCGGTTTCCAGCCCAAGTCCCTTTTCAAGACTGAGCTACTGCAGCGCTGACCAAATTGTCCATATTTGGATCAATTTTCCACATTCCAAATATCTATCCCTTAGTCATCTCTACAGCTGTGTGTGCCCTTCTCTCTCTCTCTCTCTCTCTCTCTCTCTCTCTCTCTCTCTCTCTCTCTCTCTCATCATTGACAAAACCATGTTGTTTTCCCAGGTGTGTGTCAGATTCCTATGTGGATGTTGCGGGTTAGAGGACCAATATGACACTGCTTTCACACAGAGGAGCCAAAACACACACACACTCACACACACACACACACACACACACACACACACACACACACACACACAAACTATTTAAAGAGGTGCCCCGCATTCTCCCGCAGCAACATGCATTATAACACATGCAGAGAAGCACGAGTTGAATGTGGACGAGCGGACTTCAGCTGCATGGGAATTTTTTTTTTTAAAGGTCGAGTATCGAGCTGCCTTTTTCTCTATCACTTAAAAAAATCTCTCTCTCTCTCCTCCTCTTCCTCTTCTCTCCTTACACCTCCAGTGGACACTACACACTGTGAATGAAAAAAAACAATTTTCTGGTTTCCAGGACAACCAAGAGAGGCTGGGTGGTGAAACAAAAAAAGGAGGGTGGAAGAGATAAACACGGACATTTTTGAGTGTGCCAAAAAAATTATTTTGTGTGTGTGTTTGTCTTAGGACAGGAAAAAGGGGGGAGGGCAGGCTTATATGAGCCGATGTTGTTGATGCTCCAGATAGAGGAAGAGAACAGAAAACATTGGCAAAAAAACATAGCTGAGCTGCAGGGGACACACAACCTCTCCATCTCTCTTCTCAGTCACACTCTCTCACCCTCGTTTCACTCTTTTCTCCCCCTCTTCTCTTTCCACGTCATACTCTCCCCTGCCTTTGCTGACTCAATGTGTCTCCCCCTTTCCTCTCTCTTCTTTCCTCTCCTCACCCCTTCACTTGCACTGTCCTCCCTCTCTCCTCTCTCCTCTCTCTTTCTCCTTCTGTCTGGGGTTTCTCTTTGCTTACTGTACTGGCTGTTGCTGAGCCTGAGCTAGCTCACTATGATGCTGGGGAAAGACTACATGCTGGCCATTGTGATTGTCAATTATGAGGGTAGGTGCATCAGTCGGAGTCGGACAGAGACGACATTGTGGAGTTAAGAGTTTGTCTCCCTGTGTGTGACTCAGTGTGTGCATGCTTGTGTCACACAGGGAGGAAGTTTTCATCTCTGTTATCGTTCTATAAATATCGACTGCAAGGATTCTTAAATCTGTGCATGCTGTCTCTCTGTGTGCGTTTGCTATGCCTGGTCCTTGTTGTGAAAATGCATTATGAGTTGTCCTTTGCTACAGAGTGCGTGTGCGTGTGTGTGTGTGTGTGTTTTCGCTCTCCCCTCCCCCTCTGCTCAACTCTGGCTCTGGCATGGAGCTGCATGCTAACAGAGGCTAACTGCTACGTATCTCCACAGTGGTGGCTTTCACCTCCAGGGGGCGTGAAAGTTGCTGGACTCAGGGCTAGCATGCATAAGGTTTTTCTTTTCAATTACACACTTTGCTTCAAAGAGAAAACACTGGCATCATGCATCAATAAAGCCAGAGCTCCATTTCTCTCTCTCTCTCTCTCTCTCTCTCTCTCTCTCTCTTCTCTCTCTCTCTCTCTCTCTCTCTCTCTCTCTCTCTCTCTGTCTCTCCAGGAGTCTGTTCCTGTCATCGTCTGAGTTTCCATCTTCTCTCTCTCAGTTATCAGAGATTTGCGATGTTTTATTGGCTCTGACCTATTTTTTTTTCTTCTTCTCATAAAAGACTGCAACTCCCAGAAGGCACTGCTTCACAGCTCATTGCTCTGAAGCACAGTCTTAACCCCAAAGGGACGTCTGCTTTTGTCGAGAACATCGGAGTGCATGTTGCTTTTGTTAAATAAACCAAAAGGCGTTATAACTCATCTTTGTGTGTGTCTGAGTTCCATCTGGAGCGCTCTCAGTCGTCGTGATGACATACGGCCTGCTGTCGTGGCGACAGGCCTGTGGGCTGTTTTTCATCAGCTTGGTCAGCAGTTTGAGAAGTCTTTGTGTCATAGCGTGCACTGCACACACACACACACACACACACACACACACACACACACACACACACACACACACTGACTTACACGTCTACACACAGATACACAGCATCAGTTGACCTGTTCCTCTGTGTTTATATCACCTTTACGAGTTGCTCCGCCTCCTAATGCGAGGTCGGAGCGTCTGTACTACCTCTGAAACCACAACGACTTCTCACTCACTCAGATGCTGTCAGTAGTGTGTGTGTGAAGAGCAGTAACTTAAAGGGGACATATTATGAAAAATCCACTTTAACAGTGTTTTTGAACATTTATTTGGGTAACCTGAGTGTCTACTGACCCACAAATGTGAAATAAACCCATCCAGTCCTTTGTTTGTGGTCTGCATAAGTCTTACAACACAGAGAAAAATGCTCTGTTTCAAATGTGTTCTCCTTGTGATGTCACAGTGGTATCCCCTGGTATCTCCACACATGGACTCCACCCCCAGACTAGAACAAAACTTTAGCGCAGGTCTGCCATCTTTATTCTCTCTACAGAGGAGTGATGTCTACGGGGAAAACTCAGCGGGGGTCATTACATTTAAAGAGACACACACACCAAAACGGAGCGTTCTGAGAGAGCTGGTTTATACAGGGTCACAAACCTCCTCTGGTGCTTGATTCATGTTATATTTTGACCAAAGCACAGCACAGATGTTTCATTTAGACCACAGGGGACTGTTTGAAAAGGTGGAGGAGGTGGAGAATATGTCCTCTTTAAAGTATTTTGTGATTGTGGGATATGAAGGCAGCTGATGTTGTTCCGACATTTATCTCTTCAAACTGGAAGAGTTTGAATCTCTCCTTTATGAGACAATCCAGTTCAACATTTTGATTCAGGCTACGATCTGATTCATTCACGATTTATTGAAATACAGAATGATAAGGTGTCATTTGGTTCGATTGATTTCAGTCTCAGACTCAAAGACTTCAGCAAACTGTAACAAACATATATGATATTTATATTTTAGCATTATCTACATCACAAGAAGTCTTAGCTCCAGCTTTTTGGTTTTCTTGTTAGTTGTCTTAAATTAAAGTGTTTTTTTCTTTGGTGCTGATGCTGGTTAGCCGCGCCTCATGTACAGTAGTAACCCTGTAGTCCTCCAAGAAGGCAGCTCGGGTTCAAATCCGACATGCTGTTCTTTTCCCCGATGTTATGCCTCCCTCTCTCTCCTGATTTGAGCTGTCCCCTGTCCCATCAAATAAAAGCAAAAAGCCTAAAAATACATCTTAAAAATACAGGTTCCTGCTATGCAGTTTATCTCGAGTCTCCATCTCCAAAGCTGTTGACAAAGATGACATCAGAAGCCCCGCCCCTTTTTTAATTTTAATTTGTGGGTGAGGGAGAAGTGACATTGACGAGTGCGTTAACATTTTTATTTACCTAAGTGAGTGAAGCGAGGACAAAACAAAGGAGCTGAGTCATGGACGATGTGTGTGATTAGTGGAATCTGATTATTAGTATTCATCTCCTTCTGATGGATGAAACAGTGAATGAAAGAATGCATCATGGCTCATACACGCCATGGAAACAAAAGAGCACGAGAGCACGGAGAGGGAGCTGATAGGATTAGGAGGAGGGGTGGAAGAAAAAAAAAAACAGCATGAGTCATCATTTGTGTTGAAATCAGAAACGATAAATATTTAAATTCTTTTTTGGGTGGACTCATCTGATGAACTGTTCTCAAACTGAGATGAATGATGTCATCGGTGCGTTTTTTTATCGTGTGCATTAAGCACTTCTTTAGTAGCTTGTGTGTGTGTGTGTGTGGGAGTGTGTGTGTGTGTGTGTGTGTGTGGGAGTGCAACAACAAGTGGAGCTCAGTGGTCGTCTGTGGAAACACGCGGCTGTTCTGTGACAGCTGCAGCAGATGCGGGTTAATCCCACTCAGCTGTTGAGTAAACTTTCATTTGACCGAGAACTCAGTCATATAAAAGAAAATCATTGATTCAAGTTCTACACTTCTAACTCTACGTTATAAGGTGTCTGTCACTTTAAGGAATTTGCACTTTCCTGTTACAGATTTGCGTTTCTTCTTTCTGTCAGATATTTGGAGCGAGCAGTCGTTCCAGACGGACCCCGACCTGCCTCCAGGATGGAAGAAGATCACAGACATGGCCGGTATCTACTACTGGCATATCCCTACAGGCGCCACCCAGTGGGAGAGGCCCGCCACCCGCCCGGCGCCCGCTGGACAGACGGAGATCCAGACCCTGGAAGACCACACGGCCTCCACGCCCCGTAAACACTCCCTGAGCTCCCTCAGCCCCTCCCCCACGCCCGACCATGAGGTGAGACACACGTCAAGGTCTCATGATGCTGCTTTTTACGTTTTTTTTTACCTTTACTTCGAAGACACCGTTACATCTGATGTATAAGACGCACTTTTGATATACTCGACTTCTCAAGCCTTCATGGAAGTTCAGTTTTTTTATTCGTCGACTCAGCACTGATGGATGAGTCCTCTCCATGTTTAGAAAGATATGATAAAACGAGCAGGCCGCTGGTTTAATGTTGGAAACATCCCGATGTCAGTGAGTTCAGCGTTCCTCCTCTTGAGAGTACGCTTCCCTCTTTTATTTTTACGATGGACTGACTGTAAATATTATTTTGTGATTCACTTTGCAGAGAGAGAATGTAGCCAATTCATTAATCCCCTTTTTATTGGTGTGTGTGTGTGTGTGTGCGCGCATGAAGTCGTGCCAGGCCGAGATCTTCTTCAGGGCGTCGACTCGTTCAGGCAGCACGACCTCTGACAGCTCGGTGGAGCCGCTCTCCTCTCACGAGCCCACCCTCACCACATGCGGGTTTGTCAACAGCTGCTACTTTGTAAGTAAACCAGAAATAAAGTTTTTCTCATGTTTTCAATCCTCCTCTTTGCGATATTCTGCACGTTTAGGTTAAAACATTCAGTGTGTGCATCTCAGGAAAGGAAAGTGTATTTGTCCCCACTGAGGTTATGGAAGGATTGCTCCAGAATAATGTGAGGAGGCGGAGTCTGTCAGTCAATCAATCGGCCCATCAAGCAGAATGATGGAGGCAAACAGAGAGAGGGGAGAGTGGCTCGATGGAGAGGAGCGCGGTGTAGATAAAACATCGATCCGGTGAGAATGGACTGATGGAGACGGATAGATGTGCCAAATTGAGAATCTGGCACATCTATCTGCAAGACACTGGAGTGTGAGTCTGTGACATAACAGATAGAAAAGCACAGAGGAGTGTCCCTTTTGTTTTTTTCATCAGGACGGTGATTCATACAGATTTATGGAGAATTCAGGAACCCACCAGACTTTAATATCCATGACTGTTGCCGGGCAGATCACCCAGGCAGCTTATATTTACGAGCGCCTAACTATATTTCCCGTCCGTTCTTGCATTTATTTATATCAAAGTACGATCGATAAACTAGTGGACGAGCGCTCTGACCCTCGCAGACATGTTGCAAAGTGGCGTCTGTATTCTCTAGATTAAAGTATTCAGAGTGAGAGAGACGTCCACTGATGAGTTTTGGGCAGCTGGTTGATGTTACTCTGCACTCTCTTCATTTTGATACATCATAATAAAGTTTTTTAAGGAGGAGTTTGCACATCCAACTATCTCACAAAGTAGGTGCGTAGAGCGAGAAACTATTACTTGAAAATAAAATATCCTGCTCTCTACTCTTGCTAAGTATCGCCAATTTATTTGAAAAATCACTAAAAGTTGAACACACTTGACAAAGGTTCAGAGGGACTGAAACGTTGTGACTTTTTCTTTTAAAGCTACATCATTAAAACAAGCCTCCCTGGGGCGTCGGTGGCCTAGTGGTTCGTGTGCGCGCTATGGTCTCTCCGGCCAGGGTTCAAATCTTTCTCTCTCCTTGATTTCTGACTCCGTGGTCCTGTCTCTCTAATAAAGGCACCAAAAGCTCAAAAATAAAATGTTGAAAAGAACAAGCCTCCCTACACAGGCTCACTTGTTGTTGTTAAGGAATCACGAGTCAATCCCTTCATGTAGATGGAGAGGGTCGAGTTCTGCAGGGGCCAAAATAATGTAGAAACACACAAAGTAGAGATGTGAATGTGCCGGATGAAAATGAAAAGACACACAAGAGGACACAGGATGAGATGGTGGTGATAAACTGCTACAGTAAGGTGCAAATCGGTCTAAAAGAAAAAAAAAAGAGATCTGAATGCAGGAGAAGAAATGTTTGGTGATAAATAAATGTCCTGCAGATTCCCAGATTCCCCCTCTCGCCTGCAAGTACCAACTTTTATATGGCAACTTGTTTTTATCTATTTGAGGGCTCTGAGCAACAAGTCAAAAACAAGCACCAACAAGTCGATGCTAAAAACAAAGAAATGTTTTAGATAAAATTAATTTGTGTGTTTTTGTTTTCTTGCAAATCACATCCCTGTTTAATGTTCCCTCTCTCCCTCTCTCTCTCTCATTCTCTCTCTCCCTCTCTCTCTCTCTCTGTCTCTCTCTCTCTGTCTCTCCCTCTCTCTCTCTCTCTCTGTCTCTCTCTCTCTCTCTCTCTCTCTCTCTCTCTCTCTCTGTCTCTCTCTCTGTCTCTCTCTCTGTCTCTCTCTCTCTCTCTCTCTCTCTCTCTCTCTCCCGCTCTCTCTCTCTCTCTCTCCCTCCCTCTCTCTCTCTCTCTCTCTCTCTCTCTCTCTCTCTCTCTCTCTCTCTCTCTCTCCTCTCTCTCTCTCTCTCTCCCTCTCTCTCTCTCTCTCCTCAGCCTCGTTCCACGTCTATACAGGGGATGCCCGATCATGAGGGTCTCTCTCAGCTTCAGGAAGACGAGGACAAGGTAGAATGTTTTCTTAAATGTCTTCATTTATTCTCTGTGTCCTTCCTCCCTCACCACTCTTCCTCTCCCTCTTCCTCTTTCTCTTCTTCTTCTCTTCTTAAATAGCCATGACTTTTTGATATCTTGTTTCTGTCGGTGTGTGTTGCATGATGGGAAACAAATGGACGTCAGCATCTGTACATCTTTTTCTGTCTGTATGACATGCAGTGCAGTCAGTCAGTGATTGAACAGTTTGTTTGGCTCTTCACTCCAGCTCATCTCAAATCAAACCTCAGAACGAGATCTTCAGTCTGCTCTCACATCCTCCCAGCAGTTTGTTTACATTCATGTCTAAAAAGGTTTCTGTCTGATAAAAATATTGAGCACTGTGATAAATGTAAACAAAAACAGAATGTCATGATTTTCATAGAAACCAAATATCTGATTGAAAATATCACAAAGACAACATTTCAGAATCTCAGATGTTTAACAGTTCAGGGTCTCCTTTGTCGTATTTTAAAGTTTCCTAATGCCCAAAACAATTTCATGAGGTGACAAGTCAGGAGTGCAGGAAGACCAGAGGCTGTTCTAATCGATCCAGAGTGAGGTGTGACATCATCAGGATGATACATAAAAAGAGTCCAAGACTGTGAAATCATGGAATAGTCAAGAGAGAACTTACAAAGAAAATATTTACTCAGTATGAATCAGAAGAACAATGTTCCAGTTGGTCCAATTAGACACAGGGTCTTACTAAAACCTCTATATATTCGTTGACTGTGTCCACTTAGCGTTTTTTTCCAAGCAGAAAAAGCGCTGGCTGTCTCCATGACAACAGTCTGTTGACAACTGCTGCTGTATGATCGACACTGCTCCTTCACTTTTTACTGCAGGTTTTTTTTTAATTTGAGATCGTTTATTTCCCGATCAGACCCGGAGCGCGGAGGATGTGGGGTATACGGGGAATATTGTACATTTGGAAAAGAGCGCCGGTGACGTCAACAGCATCGTTTTCAACTTGAGCGCTCGGAGCGACCACACAAAAAGGGCAGAATGCTGGGCGATGTGCTTTTCCTTCAGGCGACCGCTTTCTGCTGAGAACGCTCTCTACTCATTTAATAAAAAAATGAAAAAATATGCTAGGTGGACACGGGACCTTAACCAGTTTCTCTTTTCGATCAGTTTTCTTATTTATATTTTCTTTCCATCATTTTGCACAAACGGATTGAAATGGTCATCAGAAGTAAAGCTGAATGTTGGCTCCGTTTGAGATCCACATGCTGTGGTGAAGAAAACAAACAAATATCAAATCATTTCTTTCCTCATAAGCACTGACTGTACTCCATGTCTGCACTCTGCATACTCTACTAATGAAGAATCAGTGGATTCTCAGCAGGGGGGGGCGGGGATGTTCAAAAGGAGCAGAAACACCTGAGAAGTAACGTGTTGCTGAGTTGCTCCTTATTGCATCACACACCCTGTGTGGACTGAGCTAGTTAGCTAACAGCCTTGTTCTGTCTTTCTTCCCCCCTCCTCCACCCCGTGTGTACGTGTGTGTGTGTGTTTTTAATGCTGTACGTAGAAACAAGCGTGGAGTGATTTGGAGGAAAGATTGATAGTGAGGTGTGGAAGGCAAGTATAACGCACTCATCAAACGCCAACGAGTCTCGCTCTTTGAGTCTGTCCTCCACCCGCTCGTCGAGTGTGTGTGTGCGCTCGTGTGCATCGTGTGCTGGTGACTCACTGCCTGGAGAACGCATGTGTAGCAGACGCTTCAACACAAACCACAGCATTCAGTCATGCTTTTTAAAAAAACATTTTTATTTTTTGTTTGGCTGCAGAAACACACTGAACACGATGTTTCTTTCTTCACATATTCAGCTGAAATGTTGTCTTCTTTTACTTTCTGCTTGCACACACACACACACACACACACACACACACACACACACTTGTGCACAAGTACGTACTACATGTGAACTTTCTCTCCTTAATGCAGCATGCCTCATTACACATAACACACCGACGCCATGTCTCCTTCCAGCTAAAAGTCCATCCACCCACACTCTGGATGCATGCTGGTTTATATACTACACAGAGGTCAAAATATTTACGTGTGGTGACTGCCAGGTTTGTGTCTCTCTCTCAGCCTCTCTCTCCCACATGTCATGTAACCAGTGAATGTTATGTATGTTGAGGTGGCGAGGCTCTGGCCCCTCTCACGGCTCCAGCTGTAACAAAGCATGACATTCCTAGGACAAGTATGATGATCTCACACACAGTTAAACATTTAAATTACAAGAGCACCTTGTGGTCATGGTTGCCACGATACCAGAATTAAAAATGTCATATGATACCAATAAAAATCAAAAACGATAACGCTAGCTGGTTCCATTCCATGGCATCAGAAGAAGAAGTCGTAAAAACACCCGATATAGAGTAACGTCTTAACTACCAAAAGTTGTAAGCAAACTCGTGCAGACTGTCTACACCTTCTTCAGAGGTAGTAACAGAGGCGAGGGGAGCACAGCGGTGTGTGTGTGTGTGTGTGTGTGTGTGTGTGTGTGTGTGTGTGTGTGTGTGTGTGCATGTGTGACTGTGTGTGTATGTGGAGCTCCAGCCGTGACGAGCTTCTGCGATGCCAAATCACACACCAATATTACGCCGTCGCAGAATCAGTGATAGATGGGTGCTTTATTAACCCTTTGCAGGAAATGACATCGTCACAGCAGCAACTGCAATCACAGTCAAGACACCACAGAAAACTAACAAATACCATTTAGGGACAAAAATACTAAGATCTTTTTTTTTTTAAACTAGACTACAAATGTGGATTTATAAATAAAAGACATCCTAGAAAATGTGATGAACCTTTAGTGTGTAATGTATCCAGTGTGCATTGAACGATATGAATGTTCAAAGACGTCCGCAAAGGACCAGCGCGTCCTCCTGTGCTCTCCGTTTGTGAGAGACATAAATGTAACCTTTGTAATCTTTGAGACGCCAAAAGAACAGTCAGTATTTTTATTAGACCTTTGATTTAGTCATGAACCACCGCTGCTCTCGCTCACTCCCGGAAGCTTTACGTTAAAAACACGACCGGTGATATAAAAAAATGTGGCTCTGTGTATTTTAAAGCTTTGTTGCTTTTCGATGCTATTCACAGTATTCTTATGGTTTCAAAACACGAGGCGTCATTTAAACAACAGTAATATGTTCTGCATTCACATGGAAACTAATATCAGCAAGAGCTGTTTAATGTCGGCACGTTAATGCTGTTGTCGTCCTCATAATGCATCTGGATCACTTTTCTGCAGTCGTAAAGCACAAACAGGATCAGAGATAACCTTCCTCTTTGTCTCTTCATGATAGTTTAGTCCTGTCCGACCCAGACAACATCACAGGTTACATGTGTGAAAGAGGCTTTAGTGAAGAAGTCTGCTCTCTCTGATGATGTCACTTTGTGCAACAGGACCTGCAGGCGGCCACCGTGAACCCTGACCCCAGCCTGAAGGAGTTTGAGGGGGCTACGCTTCGCTATGCATCGCTCAAGCTAAGGTGAAATATAGAGACACACACACACACACACACACACACACACACACACACACACACACACACACACTCCTCTGCTAGCTGTGCCTCCTTCTCCACTTGTTGTTGTTGTTTAGTCGGTTTCTTTAATCTTGTGTTTAATCAGTGTTGGAGCTAAATGAGGTCAGTCAAAGCAGGAAGTGACTTCTTGTACACAGGAAATGCCTCCATGTTCTCCATTAGTGTAATGACTGCCTGCAGCCTTCAAACACACACACACACACACACACACACACACACACACACACACACACACACACACACACACACACACACAGCAGCAGCTACCGAGGCAGTGCAGCAGCTAAAGGTTCAATCTCAATCATTGTGTTTTGATGCACCAATCAGAGACATATTTACAGATACTGGTTCTGATATTTAGATTATCCTAATGAATGGTGTTGTTGTTGTTGTTGTTGTTGTTAGTTTGTCTAAGGCTACACAAAGCTGTTGTAAACTCAGCATTACATTGTGCTGGCTTCACACACAAACAGGAAGCAGCTACAGCCGTCAGGTTTTTCAAATTAAATCTTTAAAACTGAAGTGTAAGAATTTTACTTTCATCAAAGAAGGAGCTGTCCCATCTCGTCTGAACGTCGTCATGGAGACGGTTTGTGGACACTTCTTTACAGTTCAGTCTGAACGTCTTTAAAGAGAGACTGAGCGAGCTGAGAATGTTTAAAGTGACCGACCATCTGATACGTCAATTACGTCGATATCGGACCAGATACCGATTCAAGATCAGGTCTGTCCCGTCTCTAATTTGTGCAGCGCCAATTCATAACAAAAGTTATCGACAGAGCAGGTAGAAGACCTCACTCATTGTTATATTACCTGCAAAGACCCGACAGGCATCCATCATGAGCACTGAGCAACATTTAGAAAAAGTTACAGTGAAGAGGAAGAAACCTCGAGCGGAGCCAGACTCATGATGAACGTCTGATGAAACTGTGCATTAAGATCCCCGTTAGCTTCTGTGTGAAAGCTTTGAAAGTGGGATAGAGGGAGAAGAAGGATGGAGACAAACAGAGCAACAACAATGAAATACAAAGAGTCATAATGGTCAAAGTATGAGCAGTAAGATAATAGTCTACGTGATAATACTGCTTAACGTTTATTCACCTTTCTGTTTTAGGAACCGTCCAGCAGTGGAGGAGGAGGAGTCGAGCAGCGTCAACAGCGACCCGGAAGCAAAGGTAACGAGTCTTTTCTTCAATCTGATTTAAGCTCTTAAAGCCTGCAGGGTCCAGGGTGTGTGTGTGTGTGTGTGTGTGTGTGTGTGTGTGTGTGTGTGTGTGTGTCCAGGGGGGTCTCTGTAAGCTGTGGTCTTTGATTCTGTTAAGAAAACCATTCAAAAGAACCTCTGAGTTTCCAAATGTCATTAAAGTATATTTTAGATTTTTTTTGTGTTTTTACACAAAGCAGGCTTTTGCATTAGGACATCTTTTGTGTTGCCTTTATGAAAACTATTTTTTTTAAACACACCTCTAAGTCAGATTGGCGAGCGTTAAAGCCTCGGTGTCATTTGGTTTTTCTCCACAATCTAAAGTAACGTCAGACTCTTATTTATTTATCTGATCGTGAATTTAAACACAGACAAAGAGAGTCAACATTCCCAGCACATGTGGCTTCGTGTGTGTGTGTGTGTGTGTGTGTGTGTGTGTGTGTGTGTGTGTGTGTGTGTGTGTGTGTGTGTGTGTGTGTGTGTGTGTGTGTGTGTGTGTGTGTGTGTGTGTGTGTGTGTGTCTGTTTATGTCCACAGCCTGTTTGTTTATGCTGTTGTTTATCTGCTCCTCACAGTGGTCACAGTGGCTGTCTTTGCTCTCTGTCATGTGAAACGATATCTAGACAATGCTGCCCCCTAGTGGTGTGATATGAGAAGTGCAGTTTTTTTTAATTTATGTTTCACATTGTGACATTTATTACCAAGGCCTCGTAAACATTCAAAGCTAATATTCAAATGAGACATTCACAGTTTTAATGAGCGGTCAGTAAAACATCAGTCAGACGAACGCCCTGCACATGCAGATGAGACTTTTATCAGAAAATGTCAGCACAAGATATACCGTACATACATTTAGGATAAAAGTGTTTTTGATCAGCACGTTGTCTCAAGCTTCTGCTGACTGCACAAAGTCTAGCAGACATAACGGGGGGGTGAGGCAGAGACGAGCGAAGTCATCGCAGATCAGACTTGAACGCCAACAATCCGCTCGATGGCGTGCTGCTGATTGGGCCGTCTAGTCTCTGTTTCCCTCTGCGTGTTGTCTGGCACTGGTTCCCCAATCCTTAGCAACCGTGACACTGATGAATAACAGACACACACACACACACACACACACACACACACACACACACACACACACACACACACACACACACACACACACACACACTTCCAGTCAGGGCATCTGGTCCAGCAGCACATCCTGACACACACACACACACACACACACACACACACACACACACACACACACACACACACACACACACACACACACACACACACACAGGTTTTGCACCTTTATTGTAGAGATGAGAGAGAGAGAGAGAGAGAGGGAGAGAAAGAGAGGGAGAGAGAGGGAGGGAGAGAGAGAGAGGGAGATAGAGGGAGGGAGGGAGGGAGAGAGAGAGAGAGAGAGAGAGATATGGAGAGAGAGGGAGGGAGAGAGAGAGGGAGATAGAGAGAGAGGGAGGGAGGAAGAGAGAGAGGGAGAGAGAGAGAGAGAGAGAGAGAGAGAGAGAGAGAAAGGTGCTGAATTGCATCCATTCCAGCTGCCCAAAAACCTCCCGAGTCAACCAAAACAAATCATGAAAATCCAGACAGAGAGGACCGGCTCTCTGCAGACACAGTCACCACCACACATGTATGGAGAAGTGATGATGAGAGGCATTACCTTTGTAAAAGTCTACATACTATATATACTGACTCTGCCTTTAAACAACACTTTATCCAGATAGGGTTCTTCATTAGGGCTGGGAATCTTTGGGTGTCTCATGATTCGATTGAGAATCAATTTCCGATTCAAAACGGTTCTGGGTTCGTGATTCAAAGTCTATTTATGAATGAATACATTCTTCAGGATCTCCTCCAGTCATCTGTGAGACTGGCTGAATTTCTTGTTGCTCTATTTGTACTGAGTTAAAGAGGTAGCCTCAGCACTTAGCAGGGAGTGACTGATTAGCCCAAAACATTTGATTTTTGGAAGTTATGAATTGATTTAAAATCTCAGAAAATAAGAATGTTCTTATATATCTATTCATCACAATAACATAAATTCAAACTTTGATAAGATACTAGTGAAAGTCAAACAAAACCTAAACTCCTGCACACTGTCTTTGTTGAAGGAATATGTACTGAAAAGCTGCAAACATATTTGTGCAGTTTAGACTTCGCTCTCTGTCTTTCTCTGTTTGCACAGACTTAAGATCTGAAGTTTTTCCAAAGCTTTTCTACTTTTCTATAAAACTGATGATTCAAATCACAGAGATTGTATTCATAAGTGATAATATATGGTCTCAAAGTGTCGTACATTCTGACTTCCTTACATCCTACTCCTGCTCACACCCAAGACGAGCGTTCCCTGATTGTGTATTTTTCATTCAGTGTCGTTAAGAACACTTCCTCCACATGTTTCCTCCAGCTCACCGTCTGTCACCTCTCTTCCACTCTGACCTCTTTTATCACGGCTCTCTGGGGGGTCTGCAGAGTACTTTTTCTGAACGGACATCACATGAATACTTGATGAGTACACATGGATGTCTCCTTCTCCTCTCTCGCTCTCTTCCTGTCTATCATGTCGGCTGCCGTGACCTGTTTGGGATTAAAAGTCATGCAAAACAAACAATTTAGCCTTTTTTTTCTGAAATCTTAAAACATTAAACTTCTGGAATCTGCAAAAAGTCTCAGTGTGTGTAAGTCCTATGTTGTATATCTAACAGAATCCTGCTCCTGTGGTGTGCTTCAGTGTTTTGCAGTGCGCTCTCTGGGATGGGTGGAGATGGCCGAGGAGGACCTGGCTCCTGGAAAGAGCAGCGTCGCCGTCAACAACTGCATCCGACAGCTGTCCTACTGCAAGAACGACATCCGGGACACCGTGGGCATCTGGGGCGAGGTGAATAAGACGGACGCTTTGTGTGTGTGTGTGTGTTTTGGGTGTAAAATAAAGGTTGACAAGCTTTGAATACTTTGCACATGAAAGATCTTGAGAGGAGGCGTGCTTGCAGAAAAAAAGTGAAGGCAAGTCATTAAAAAATGTGAAATCAAAAGGTTAAGGCGGAACAGAGGGAAGTGGAACAGAAGTTAGCCAGGGCAAACGTCTTCTTTAATGCATGTCAAAAAAAAAAAAAGATGGAGGGAGAGAGAGGAAGAGGAGGAGAAGAAAGTGGAGCAATGTTATGAAGTCTGTGCTCTCTTTGCTCTGGTTGTGTTTAATGTGGAGCGACAGACTAGAAGGAAACAGAGAGAGAGAGCTTCATCCCTTTTTCAATTTGCCTTTTATCTTCCAGCCCCCTCTTATAAAGGGTTGATCATTTATTTAGAGACACGCACACACAGTGGGAAAAAAAAAAAGAAAAATCAACACACACTTTATCAGCAAGAAAAAGAAAAAAAAAAAAGCGCCTGACCTTTGGAAAAAAGACGACTTCTTCTCTCAACGTCTCGAGCTGCAGGAAATGAGGATTGCATGTTTTTAGAAATGACATCTAAAGAATTTTGTGTGTGTGTGTGTGTGTGTGTGTGTGTGTGTGTGTGTGTGTCTGTGTGTGTGTGTGTGTGTGTGTGTGTGGCGCGCTCAGGGGAAGGACATGTACCTGCTGCTGGAGAACAACATGTTGAACCTGGTCGACCCCATGGACCGCAGCGTGCTTCACTCCCAGCCAATCGCAAGCATCCGAGTGTGGGGCGTCGGCCGGGACAACGGCAGGTCAGTCACTGCAACTTTTTTTTAATCCCTTTAAAAAAAACAAAAAGAAACCAGCTGTTTGATTTGTAATAAATCACGAGTGTGTCAGATGTCGAGTTGTGATTTCTCAAGATGGAAATCCCGCTCAGAACAGCGTTAACATTTCTGTGAATTCCACTTATTAAAAAGTTTTAATTGATCAATTAGTCGCCAGTGTGGATGATGCATGGCGCGCACACTCGGGCGGGGGGGGGGGGGGAAGGTCAGGGTATCAATTGAGGGCAGCAGACGGGTTGTCGTGGTGACGGGCAGAGGAGAGGAGTTAATGATTGATGATGAAGGATTGCTAATGAAAGATTAATTCATCTGTACAAAGGAGAGCATGAGAGGGAGACCGGCCTTTTTTATTCTCTCTCTCTCTCTCTCCACCTGACCATCCGTCTTCCTGCTTTCACCTCGCTGAGCTCAGCACGGCGGGGGGCGTCCCAAAAGACAAAATTCACACACTCAGTGCAGAGCATTCTCCTCAATTTGACGTCTAATATGCTCCATGTGTAGATACAAGTGAAGGAAGACTTGCTGCATGTATGGAGGGTAAAATGAATCGTAGTAGCGCTGGGTGACCACTAGGGGGCACCCTGCACTGCTGCTGCTGCATGCAACAAGGAGAAACTGAATGTAGGTTATCAGGCAGCGCTGGGTGAGGTCGTTACCTGCTCCATCGTTTGCCTTAGCATGTGCTTAACACACGCTCACATGCATGGATATGAGTGCACACTGGGGGGGGGGGGGGGGGAGGCTGAAAGCTCTCAGCGTTTACAGGACGGTAGCCCC